GCCATAGCTTTCCTCCCAAGGAGCAAGCGTCTTTTAATTTCTTGGCTGAGATGTCCCACCTAGGACTCAAAAAGCTGCACTGGTTACCAATTGTCGCCCAAGCCCTATTAAAGGTGCTTGTTTTGACATAATGCCCCAAATGGCTTAGGGCCTGGTTACCTAAGGGACCACCTTCACCCATATGAACCTGCCTGACACCTCAGATCAGAATAGGAGGACCTTCTACAGGAGCCACCCCTCAAAGAGGTGAGGGGGTGGCAAATAGGAAAAGGGAATTCTCAGTGGCTGCTCCCCACCTCTGAAATAAACTCCCAAGGGAAATTTACCTGGCACTGTCATTGTTTTCATTTTGGCACCAGGTGAAAATGTACCTTTTTAATATCTATTTTAATTGATCCTGACTTCCTTCCACGCATTTAATGTTACAATTTTATGATTGTATTTGATTTTTTAAAAATTCAGGCTTTTACAATTTTAAATTGTTTTATATTTAAAAATGTATTTTTATGATTTTGTAAGCCACCTAGGGACTTTTTAAAAGCAATTGGTGGCATAGAAATGGAAATATAAAAAAATAAATGAAGTAGGCTGGAGTGCCCTGGCATTGAGTTTAAAGAAGAACATATTTCATATATTATAAAATCAGTGCAAAAGATCTGTGTTGGATTGTTATGATGCAAGAAAAGACTTGGCTTGTGTAATGCAAATGTTGACATTAAAAAGACTCTATACTAGTAAACCAACTTTCTTCCTCTGGGAGGAATACTAAGCTATCCTGTGCAGCCTAAGGAAACAATGGTTAATAATAGGTATGTCTGATCCATTTTTAAATATGTTCTTATAATGTGGCATGACAACTTTTGCTGACTGCAAGGGAAATTAAATGTTGATTTTCCTGGAAGGAATAATGTTATCACTGAGTGTGGCCAGTAGAAAATATACTTGGGTGTTTCCTTTTGTTTCTTGATTATTGTTGCATGTATGAATGAATTGATTTTGCAGGGAGGGGGAGGTCTTACTTAAAGGTGATATTTCAGAGGGCCTGAGATTTTCTCCCAAAGGACAGCACTTGCCTTCAAATCAACTTTGCTATAACATTGCAGATTATCTTTGCTTGGCCAGAAGTACTTCCAAATGGGAGTGTTTCCATTGCGCATACTGCTGTGGATTGCTTATTTAATGTGTCCATGACAACTACTTTAAATGAGGCAACCAATAGTGCTGGGCAGAGCATGGTTCTCCTCCCCACCTTGCCAAGGGAAGGAAAGGATTATATGTAGTGCTGCAGATGGCCTCATTTAAAGTGGCTGTTGCAACCACTTCAAAGGAGACATTTTTACCCCCTCTTTCTGATGATAGATGACTGAAGTATCCTCTTTTGCAGTCAGCAAGGTGTTTCTTGAAAAGGCCCCTCCCTGCTTTTGGCTCTGTCCTACTTTTATTGTACAATCCTTTATAGATGTTGTTAGAACAAGAATGTGGTCCAGACATGAGCAACTTTAAAAATTCTGCTTAGATCATATACCTTTAATTGAACTCTAGAGTCTTATACCAAGTACAAATGAATAGCAAAATATTCCTCCGTGCTCAGGGAGTGCAATAAAACTTCTCCTGTATGGATCTCTTATATTCAGTTTTCTTCTGCATGGATACTGCGCTTAACCCCTCCGGGGCCTCCCTCAGAGTGCCAACTCTGAGCGAGGCTTGGAGGTTGGCAACAAGGGAGAAGGCTTTCTTTATGGTGGTTCCCCATCTATGGAACAGCCTCCCTACTGTTGCCTGCTTGGTGCTAAAACTGTCAACTTTTTGGCACTAGGTTAAGACAGCCCTTAATTCCGAGGCCTTTAAAGATTTTCTTGGCTAATCATAGTCCTGAGCAGATTACCCATTCCAGCTGTTTTTTACAGGGTCATTCATTGCATAATTTATTTATTTATTTTATGATTTTTATTAATACTAATGCTGTTCTGAGGAATACTCTTACTGTGTACGTATTTTGTTCCACATGAGAAGTCTCTACTGTAGGCATTTTACTGTAGGCATTTTAATTATATTATTAAAAACTTATATTGAAAATTATAAGTTTTGAGAGCCAGTTTGGTGTATGAGAGCATGGGACTGGGACTCAGATGATCTGGGTTCTAGTTCCCGCTCAGCCATGGAGCCAACTGGGTGACTTTGGGCCAGTCACAAACTCTCAGCACAACCTACCTCACAGGGTTGTTGTGGGGATAAGATGGAGGAGGAGAATGATGTAAGCTGCTTTGAGGCCTTTGTAGGAAAAAGGCAGGATATAAATTGAAAAATAAAAATAAATAAATAAATAAATAAAATTATGCTATTACAATTGAATGAGGGCTAAACAGCATGTTTACAGAAATTATGATGAAATCTAGAACCTATTGTTTCATAGGACAGCAGTTATTCCGATGTTGTGACATTTTGGTGACTAAGTTTCCATTTTGGTAGCACTATGGCTTGAGGTGGTGAGTTGTCTACTTTTGAAGGAAAGGCTTATTCCACAATGTGATAATGAAGCAAAACAGGGTCAGCTGATTAGAATGTTAGCTATCTGACCTATATATCAACAATTAGGAGTGACACCTTGAATTTCCAGACTATGAACTGTATGCAATTGAGAGTTGAAAACCAGATGTATAATCCAGAGAAGAGAAATCATCCAGATGACTGTAATGAGGATGGGTTTGATTGTATTGCTGAAATTCTTCCTGTTTGATCCTTTGATATAAAGAAACCCTGCCCCACTTGATGCAAACTTGATTTTCCTTGTTCAGGGGATAAGATCAGGAAAAAGAATAACTGGTGGTGGTGATTTAGCTCTAGTGCTATAAGAATGTCTCTCCTCTGCATCTCTTGCTCCATTCTGCCAGAGAAGAAGCTCCTATCAGTCTGGTACAGTTGGTCCTGAAACTAGCATATTTACTGAAAGGCAGAACATAACAATGATACTTTAGGAACATTAGTCTAGGTTTTTGAACACCCTGATAATGAAGTCGGGAGAAAGCGAAGAAGACAAGATCGAGGCTTTTTCAAAACAGATACGTTTATAGGGAAAATAAAACAAAAGTCAGTCTGTGGGTAAATTATTAAAGGCTGTCCCAGAAGATAGTGTTGGGTACAGTATGAATTAGTACTTGTGAATTGGATATGAGAGTCATGGCATCCTTCCTCATTAACCACTGTGTGAACAAAATGCTGGACAACATAAACCCTAGATCTGATTCAGCATGGCTCTTCTTAGGTTCTCCAAGAACCTAAGCTCTCAATAGCCAATTGATAAGTGATACAGTCTTCTCAACACTGAATTAGAAAGTGGAAAACCTGAGATACTGGAATATCAAATTATGATTCTGAATATATAAATTTGCTGAACGTCTAGAGACCAGGAACTGTTAGTGGGAAAGGGTGCAGAGAATGAAAGAAGCAAGTCTATAATGCTTCTGGTGGTGAAAATTGTACAGTATTTCTTTGTGCACGCAAACACGGTGCACTTCCACTTGTACCATATTGGGTTTCCCAACTGTTTACACACATTAGGAATGGCAGCAGAGTGTCACTTGCACTGGTGCACTGTCTTCAAGTACACTAATGTATTTTCTTCATTTGCGTGAATGGGTCATATACATGTGACAGAAGGGAGAGTAATGCATTGGTGGAAGTTAGACTTGCCTGGTAACTTTGGTATTTGGGATGAGTGGCAGTGTTTTTACTTTGTCAAGTCTCAGAAATGCTGGAGGATTTTGTTTGGTCTTCACTTTTAAGCAAATTGACCTGATCCAGACTTCCCAGAATAATATATGAACTAAAATGCACTTCTTGTAAGTCTCCAAATTCCCCATTTCAGAATCAAAGTGTGCAAAAGAACATGTATTTATTCTTACATTTATGTAAGAGAAAATGTGTTAAAATATGTATTTTGTGAAAAACTATAGTGAAACCCCAAATGTTCATATAGAGCTTTTTCTAAAATTGCATATAAAAATGGAAAAGAATGGACATCTGAATGAACACATGCAAAACTAACATATACTGAAAATAAATAACCTGTTTTTTGACCATTTATTTTGTTTTAGTTTTAAGAGCAAAGTAAATGATGGGTACTTAGTCTATTTCCAGTCTGTATGCTTTGCATGTGTTCATTCATAACACAGCTACCATTTCCATATCAGTATGTGTGCCTAAAGGACATATATAAGAAGGCAATGCCAGTCTTCAACAATGGCTTCCTCACATTGTGCCAGTAAAGGCCTTCCGTGAAAATTGAAAAGCCAAAGTGTGTGCTATGTGCAGCCCTTCAGATTTCAGCCTTTCTCCTAGATATGAAAGTAACTGCTGATAACTGAGCCAAGTCCTATCTGCCTAGTCACATCAATTCTGTACCTTTCCTTCTTTAGATTCCATTTCTTTTTTTGTGATGCTGGCCTGTGAGAGATCCCTTGGGAACCTGTTGTGTGTGAGAGAGAATGTTATTATAGTCTGTTTCATTTGGCTACTAAGGATGCAATTCCAGGACTGCTGGACACCGTGTAGATAACCGTAGGATAAGTTGGAGTCCCAGCTATAGAAGTACTCCAAGGTTAAAGCTGGGATTCGATATGTCTGCCATCTGCCATCAAAACTAGCGTGGTTCTTTCATCTGCCACTCTGAGGTTACATGATGGGTCTCAGAGCTGTTATTTGAAGGGGCATTGTACAGAGGAGGAATAAGGTATTGCTATCCTGCAAGGAATCCTGGCAGCACCCTGCATGCTTACATGGTTGAAACTCTCTTGAGTATCTTCCACCCTGTAATTTTCCACTGAATGCCCATAATCCTGTTAACAGGGCATCTTTTATCCAAGAATAAAGCAATTCATTTTAATCCTTTCTTTTATACCTCAATACTTTATTTTTTTCAGAGGAGCTCTAAAATGCCATTCTAGTGATAACAATTTTTCTACTCATTTATATAATACTTGATTGTCATTTAATTTTCTTACCTGATTTTGATAGGGTACTTTCCCACATGGAATCGATATTTTGACTGCAGCTGATTATTTTGCTGTTGGCAACAGAGCAAATTGTTTTCTCAATATAAGGTAAGAGGCTTCTAAATTTTAGGCAAAGAGGGTTTTTTATCTGAATTTTAAGAAAAGTGGATAATTTGATTAAAAAAATAATATTAGAAGAATTCTGCATAGTTGAAAAATGTGAACAGTTTCTGCAGTGTCCTTTGCCAAAGAGAAACCATGAATTCTGATTTCTTTTAATTTTTTGAAAGGAATTGTCACTAGAAATGTTTCATTCAGTTTGTAGCCTATCATAATCAGGGCCCTGATTCAAGACAGAGACTAAATATAATAACAGATCCACCTGTTTTACAGAAAGAAGTGTTAGAATGCTGCACAGTATCACTCATAGTGTTGGGAGAGTCCACGCCTAATAAAAAAAACAGGTTTGCTATGTACAGTAAATCATAATATCACAAATACAGAGACAATTGACATAGCCCTCTTCTGGGTGTGCTAATTTATTATATGCATGGAAGTTTGCTTTTAACATAGGAAAGCATTCAAAAATATCAACCACATATGCAGTCTAAAGTGGTATAGTCCAGAATTCTACAACATCAGTCTCCGTAATCTATATATCAAGCCAAACTGTGCACTGCAGTTTACAGCAACATGGATCCACTTACGACATGTCAGATAATGGTGAATCTTGAAGATTCTGGGATATTCTTGGCAATTTCCAGGCTTAAAAGAAACAAGTAAACAGAAAGATTTTATATGTGTATGATATGAACATACTTGTCTGCTTTTGTCACTCAGTTTCTAAATTATCATTTTTATTGCCTCTTTAATCCTTAAGCTGCTCAGATTGTGCTCCTCTGTGATACTCCACCCACTCTTTACTCTTTGCTCTCCTTTACTTACACCTTCCTCCTACACACAGCCAGTTTCCCAACTCCCTTTTCTATAGCTAAACAAAAAGAAGGAAGCATGATCGGTGAGGGAGGCACTTCTTTCTCATTTACTTTTGAGATACCAGAAGTGGTCGATGTTTGATCTCTGCTAAAGTACAGAAATTCCTTTTCTTTAGAAAGGCTGATAATCACAGTTTTGATTGTTGAGAACTACTCCCCCCCACCCCGTGGTTCATAATGATTGGTGGTTTTAGATAGTCTGTCCTTTTACATAATAAAACATCACCTGTCCTGCTTCAATGTATATGTCTAAACATGCAAATTCTTGTCCCAGAGGCAGCCTAGCTGCCTAATATAGATGAGATAGGCTTACTTACAGGAAAACCGTTTGGAAGTTTCAGAATACTGGACTGCACAATCTTCAGATATCTTCTAGCCTTAGAATATCACAATTTTTATTTTTTCTTCACATCATGCTGCTTAAAAAATAGAATTACTTGGTTTATTCTGTCAATAGCAGTATTAGTTAGTACTTTCAGCTTGAAGTTTTAGTTTTGGGGCACTGGGGAAAGGCTTGTATTTCGTTTCCTTTGGGTGGTCTCCTCCTCCCCCTTCATAGTGTTCTGTATAAAAGAGCTGCATTTTACAAAATCCTGGAACTAAAAACAGATAAAGGACTGTCATGTTTCTGTGCCCATCAAAGTTATGCAAAGAACACCAAATAGTTTCAGGGTCAACACTGCCAGGCTTCATGCTTACTGTGATGCGAAGGCAGTGATCGGTGTGCTTTCACTGAGACATGCTACACCCAGCTGCTGTGCCCTGAAATGGCAAAAGACTGGGTTATGGCACAATTTCACTTTGGCTTCTGCTCTGGGATGTGGATGAAGCAGGGGAGTGTGACCCTGTTGGTTCTGCTGGACATCACAGTGACCTCTGATACAGTTAATTGTGGTATTCTTCTTTATTGATTTTTCTTTGCTAGAAAGGGCTTGGGAGCTATCATACTGTGGTGGCTCCTATCCTTTCTGGTGGAGCAAATTCAGTGGTAGTTCTCAGGGACTTTTGCTCTCTCTCATGGCCTTTGGCTTTTCAGTACCACAGTATTCCATCTCATCTTCTATTCTGTCTAACATCTACATGAAGCTGCTGGGAGAAGTCTTCTAAATGTCATCAGTAAGTGGTTGACATACAGTTCTCCTTGTTTGAAACTACGTATCCTACTCATTGGATGGTTTGGGGCTGTCAACCTGACAGTAAATGGGAAGAAAGCATCTGTGTTTCCTTTTTGAATAAGGTTGTTCAATTTTTTGAAATCTCTTTTGCAGTAACTTTTCTTTATGATTTATATTCATCTTTTCCATCTCCTCAGTGTATATATTGCTGGGTTTCCTGAGTATACGCAGCCAATCATTGATCACCTTGTTAGCATGAAGATCAACCACTGGGATAGGTATGTTCAATTCTGTTAGTTTCTGGGAATTCAGTACTTGGATCCTACAATATCACAATTCTTTAAATTACTAGGAGCAGTTTCATTTTAATGTTAATCTATATTAAGTTGACTTAAAATTCTTTCTAGAGATCTCATTCAAATTAGGTGTCCTGGCAAAATAATTATGAAATACGTATGCTTGAATTGGTAATATAAATACGTTCTTCTTTTGATTCTAAAAGTTATGCCTTTATTGTTACATTTCAGAAAGTGAGATGAGCATACAAACTCAGTTCAGATGTGATAGGAAACCATGATTTTCTGCTATATGGACAATGATACGTATTTTGCTTATGTTCTCTGCATCCCTCTCTGTTGTATCTATGAGGAGATGTGTTTGAGATCACGGCTTGTTCTCCGTTCATTGTTTATTACAAACCATAGTTTCCCAAATGTGGACATCTGGAGAAATGCAGTTAGCTTAAAATATGAAGCAGAACCCTCTGATCCTCCTTTGAAGACTGAGAAAGAAGAAGGGAGAGCAAAGTTAATGCATACTTATGGTTTGGCAGAAAGCACTTCTGTATGCAAAATAAGTTCCTCAGTATCCCAATTTTGTTTTTTAATCTGCTTAATTTTTCTTTTTCTTTCCACATGAGAGTTATCAGTTATATATTAACTTAATATATAACTATAGTAGCTATGACAGTTGTTATAGTAAGATGCTATATACTTGTGAACAAAATTTTTTGTATAATACTATATTGGTTAAGTTGACTTCCAGCCTGAATATTAAAATGTACACAATTCATAATTTTGATGATGCAACTTTTATTGGTGTCAGGGGATCCCTGGCCATGTTCTGGATGAGCCTTTTGGTACTGCTTTCCTAGATGAATACATATTTACTGCCTTTTATATCTGTATGCTGTGTTCTTATTGTCTGTCCTACCTGCTTGTCATGAGTTTTGGAAAGTGCTAGGTCTGAGAAAACCATAATGCAAAACTACATGATTGCAACCATGGCTGTAAAATGTAGAAAGTTCTAGGTTGCTTTCCTGCTTCAGTGTCACAAACAGCAATAAACATAACTTTTTAACTTAAACGCCTGAGATTTACAAGTCATGCCACTATGGATGATATCTAATTAGCCATTTCTTTGGGATCACCAATTATATACACCCACAAGTAACTGAGGTTTTGTTTTTGTTTTATTCTAGTTTCACCATTCCAAGCTGATGTCTTTGTATGTACTGAATTTGTAGGCATTAAAATTGCTAAAAGCTTCCTGGCTAATCTGTGATTAGCCTTATGAAGTATGAAAAGCCCTAATCTGTTGAAAATCTTCATAACTTCGAATGCTTTAATTTCCAAGGAAACCTAGCAACACCAATTTATTTTAAAAAACTGCTTCAGTTAACAATTTATTTTGAAATACTGGAATTGTTTTTACACTGAGCGGTGGGATTTACATTCATGAAATAAACAGTCACACTCCTTTTTATCTACATTCCAGTGCAATTCGGGAATTTACAGCCAAAGCCCTTCATAATCTCACAGCACAAGCTCCTGAATATATGAGAAATAAGGGTGAGTAGACTCAAACTTGTGCTCTAAAATCCCTGGTGCTAGTGCAATAAGAAACCAGCCATTGATCATGTGTGTAAGGTTCACATGTGAGGTAGCAGGCAGGGCACAGGTGCAAGTTAGAGACCTGCAACTGAATCAAAGGGCCAGAAGCAAGAGACATGTTTGTGTAACAGTACAAAGCCAGGGAGTCAATAGATTCAGCAACCCAGTCAGGATTTCACAGTCCCAAAAGTACAGTCAAAGGTCAAGTTCTGGAAGGACAATAACATTCTGGAGCAGGCAAGGTCAGGGAGGATGGGTGCAGATACCTGGGAAGACAGGGTCAGGCTGGAGACAAGGACAAAAGCAAAAACAGACTGGAGCTGGGCCAGAGTCAGGTAGGCAGGCAAGCAAGACAGGCAGAGCAGGTAGGCAGAAATGAGGATTCAGGCAAGATGATGTAGGAAACTGGAGCACAAGGGATTCACCAGGACAGCTCGTGTTGCTGTGGCTAAGAGCAATACAGCGAATCCCTTTATGCTGGTCTCCAGGGCCTCCAGCTACACTATATAATTGCTGTTCAGGAGTTCTCTACAAGTGCCTGCAAAGGTGTTTCTGGCTCTTCTTCATAGTCTCTGTTCATCACATAGGATGAACAGCATATGCACCTGCACCTGCACAGAGCCTTTGCTCTGCAAGGGCACCTGCACAGAGCCTATTGCCAGGAAGCCCCTCTCCTTCCTGTTCCTAGGAAGCATGGGGAGAGGCTCCCACCCATCTCCTCAGCTCCTTTTTGACTACCATCGTGCCCAGATCAGGAATCACCTCATTCTCTTCATCTATATAGTGAAGTATGTAGTGTTCTTTTCTCTCTCCTTTGCCTAAATCAAACCTCTCTCCACCTCTCTTCAACACCCCGTTTTTAATCTTTACTTTAAAAAATATATATTTCCTACCCACTTTCGTACCCATTGCTCCTTGTACTTGCTCCTGACTTGCTCATGCCTCTCTCTACCATTTTTTCCTTCTTTCCACCTTTCCCACCTTCTGCAATGGTCTTTAGGAAATGTACCGCTTGCAGCAGCAAGCCACCTCCATTCAGTAGCCATTCTCTTTGCCTCCTGTGCTTGGAGAGGGACATTTCCTGGAGGCCTGTGTTCACTGCCAGGTCTTCAGGAAGCAATCCTGGAAGCACCAGGCTGATCAGCTCAAGCCAAACTTTGGAAGAAGGCCCTGCAAGTCGTGGACTCTTCCAAGAAATGATGGGAACCCCCTGCTTCTTTGGTGGTGATAGATTCACCCAGTTGATGTGTGGTAACTGCAACGAGGCCGCTGACCCAGCAACCACATGGCCAGAAAAGTGGTAAAATGCTTGAAAAAGATGCCACGCCTAGCCAAAAGAAGAGGCAGTACGTGAGTCCCAATCAGTGGCCTATGACCATCATGTCCCCACCATGCACCCACTGCTCCTAATCCCTGGAAATTAGGGAGGTCCCTGCTGCCACTCAGGGAGAAGAACTGGGAATCTGCACTGCTGTACCACCGCTTGCCCTGACCTATGGCACCCAGGCACTCATGTTCTTGGGTGCAGATCCCAATGCCCAGCTTACCTCTGTGATGCTTCCTGGACACTCCCAGGAGGTCAACAACGCCAGCCCGAGAGAACAGCTTGGCACCAGAGCACCTGACCATGATAGGCTCAGCACTGCACTCAGAGACCAGGGGGCACCAGAATGATCCTGCTCTCTCCTTATCTAATTGCTCCCCAGTGTGCTTCCACTCTGAAACTCCTAACAGTGACTGCACTCCTTGATACCGAGTTGACACCAGGCATCAAGACTGTGTTGATGCTGAGTGTCAGTATCGAGACCCCCTGATGCTAAGACATCAATGCCAAGTGCCACCAACCCCAGGGCAGTGCTAGCCAGCAACAACCGTCCAGCATTCTACATAGTTAAAAGATACGATGAATAGAATAGTTTTGATACTACTGTTTACACAGGTGCTAAAAATAATGAAGTACAGTGAGCTACTAAGACTATTCCTGTCTCTGACCAAGCTTCTATCTCTGTCTGACATCAAAGCCATGGTTCCCTTGACTCCTTCAGATCTCCCAGAAGAACTTCACCCGTCTCTCACATTGCCACAATCTCTTCTCACAGGACTGGGGCTGATGTTGACCCAGATGTTGGGGCCCTGTGCCTTATCACCTGGAGGATAGCACTCCATTGTGGAGGGGGAGCCCCTGCTGCTGGAAGTGTCCACTATATTGAACATGACCCGGAAGCCATCCACAACAAGGATCTGTTCGGCAAAGTGGAATGCCTTTGCAGCTTTCGGACACCAGAAAGGGTTCCATCCACAGCGGGCCACCATCCATCAGATCATACACTTCTTGCAGACCTGGCTCCATAATAGCATGAGCACCTTCTCCATTAGAATGTCCTTGGCAGCCATCTCCTTCTTCCACCCAGCAGTAGTGTGAGCGTCAGTCGCTTGGATTCCTGAAGGGACTTCACAACTTTGCCTGACCCTACACTTCACCATGGAGTATATCAGTGGTGCTACACATCCTCAGTTAAAGACCTTTTGGACTCTTGGCCACATGGATTACATCTGCTATCCTGGAAGATGACCTTCCTAGTGGCCATCACATTGGCCCATTGTGCCAGCAAACTCTGTGCCCTCCAAGTGGGCCTGCCATACCTGACCTTCCAGAGGGACTAGGCTGTCCTCTGCCCAGACCCAGCCTTCCTGCCCAAGGTCATCTCACTGTTCCACTTCAGTCGAGACATTCTCCTCCCTCCCTTCTTCACAGCTCCATCTACCCCAGTAGAATCTATCCTGTACCTGCTTGATGTCAGGAGGGCCCTCTACTTCCACAAATCCAGATCTCTTTTCCTCCTACAGTGGACAAGAAAAAGAGACCCGCACTTCCCACAGAGACCGTCCAATTGAGTCTCCAGCTCAATCTGCCTCACATGTGAGATGACAGGCCTTCACCTCACCACGCAACCAAGAGCCCACTCCACACAAACACTGGCCATGGCCATCCTCTCTGATATCCCTGTGCAGGACATCTGCAGAGCTGCCATATGGTCTTCTCTCTTGATGTTTGTCCATTACCAGCTGGATGTCTGTGTGAGGGCAGACTGCTCCTTCAGCAGGGCAGTCCTCTCCTTTGTCCTGCTGTGAAAACAGCACCCCTCTGTCCTTCACATATGTATGATGGACAGAGACCATAAAGAAGAAAGGCAGATTGCAACCTGCAGGCATGTTCAAGGTCACTCAGGCTCTTACCTGAGAGCTGTGCTGGCCTGCCCCATTACATGGATGAGCAGTGACACTCATTTCTCCTAGTACTGGTTGTAGTGGGGCTAGTGAGGGAGCATTGTAGCATATTGTATGAAAGCAACCTTGGGTATGGCTGCTAGATGGTGTCGAGATGGCCCAGAAGAGGTCAGGGTTTCAGCTGTGACTTCAGAAACACAGTTGTGGTCTCAGTCTGTTTTTGCAGTAGAAAGGACCATCTTGCCTGCAGTTCTAAGGTTGAAAGCCAACTTTATAACTGAAAGTTTCTGAGTGGCAGGTGAAGGAAGAGTAAGGCTCTGCTTTGATACAAAATATCCTGGCAGCACTTCAGCCTTACCCCCCTCCTTTTTAAGCATTTATCTGGGGAAAAAGTGCCCTCTCTCCAAAATCTGTGGTTGACAGATGTATTTCTGTATTAATTTAATCTGTTGACTCTCTTGCAGTTTTACCAAAACTGCTGCCCCTGGCAGTTGGCACAGATCTTCACACTCGCCATGGAGCAATTCTGGCCTGTGCTGAGATCACCCATGCTTTGTGTAAACTAGCCGAAGAGAATAACAGGTAAAAGGATAACATTAAGTATCTGTATGTATTTTTTATATTTAACCTGCTGAATTGTTTTCACTGTAATCAGGAAGTCTTAAGAATGATAAACTAAAATTTCATGAAAAATTGGTTTTCACCAATGTTGCAAATGTTTTCTTTTGTTTTTCTTTCATTAGAAAAGTGTGTGTTGTGGTCAGACACCTCAGGTGTTGTTTTACATAACCTTTATCCCACATTTGGGGTAATGTTAGTACTCCAGATGAATATTGTGAATCATAATTTATATACGAGTAATCCTATTGACTCATCTTTTTATGCCATGGTCATAAGGTGCCTCATCTAAAGAATCCCCAAAATTCAGCTTCTTGCTTATTACAGTTCTTTTGTTCATTCTTAATAAAAGAAAAATGCCCGATGTGCCAAAGTAATCACTGAAGCTCTATAGAATTACAGTAGTTGGGTATGATAACTTTGTGACCCCAATCAAAAGCCTTGAAAAACAAAAGTCTACTTTTCTAATGCCCACTTCTGTTCCTGATATTTTTGTTAAACTTGATTGAGGGTTAGAGCTAGGGATCATTTGACATTAAAACCCAGTGATTCTTTCAGTAGAACTCTGTAGAGAGTAGTCCATTGGCCTTCTGATTTAAAGAAAATATAGCTTGTACCAGGTAGAAAGACCACACAGTTCAAGGATTTAGTTTCTTGAGAGGGAGGACATGGAATTGCTTTTCAGCAATCTCCCACTGTCAGTATTTATTATTTTCCAGATTGTGAGAGGACAATTTTCAGAATTCCAGTCATGACATGGAATAATCTGGAGCAGGGATAGGTGGAACAGAAATGAATCTGGGCTAAGTAAGTTGTCCAACATCTGCAAAATATGTTAGTAAAATTCACTGGTCTTCAGAGCTGAGTGGCCACTTCAGTGGAGCTGTCTGGAATACCAAATTAAGGTGAGAGAGAGTTGCTTTTGGGTTGTTTTTCTGCAACTGTCATAGCAAGGATTTTCTTTTATAGGCTTTGGAGATATGTCTTCCTTGTATCTTAACATACTTTTGTATTCCTGTATGTCTTACAAAGGAACATTAAATTACCATAAATATTAACATATGCTAGCAAAAACTTTCTCTTTTTGCAAGAGAGTAAAAAAAAACCACTGTGGAAAAACATACAAAATGGAATTAGAGCTGCTGTTTTTCAGTGTTTCACTATATAGAGTAAATTAAAGAAATATTTAGGGCACAAGCCTGTGAAGATGAGCATAAGCCCCCAAATTCAGAGTCTTATACTTGTTAATTGCAGAATGCAATCTTCACCTCCTCACTCCTGTTCTGCATTTTTCTAGTAACAAAATCTCAAAAGAGAAGGGAAGGAAGCTGGAGCAGCTTCAGAATATCTCATATTCTGGATGTTTTAGTCTTTTCTGTCCACAGCCCCCAGAACTCCCCTTTCTCCTCCCCTCTGAGATTGCTTCCTGACCTTGGAAATCAGCTGGTGCAGTTCTTTCTGTTCAGCTGTGAAGAAACAAAGGAAGGGGATAGGAGCTCCATTTCTCAGCTCTGAGGTTGAGGTGTTGCCTCTGACCTTGGATCTGAGAATCCAACCTACCCTGTGGACCTTCAGACAGTGGACATGTTTACATGCTGTATGGTTATCACATGGTATGGTATTTCACCTTGTGTCTTGGGTTCAGACAGGCACTTTGTTTTCATGCATGAGTGGTTTCCATGCTTCTCCATCTTCCTTCTAAATGGTGCCTGTCTCTCTCTCATTGGCCCACATGCTCCTGTGGGTGTGAACTCAACCAGATGCTTGCTTTTTTGGGGGAGGGAGGTGCCTGCTTCTCTGGGAGCAACAGCCTACCCACCCAGAGTAGCACTGTTGCTCTAAAACACCACTACAGGAGCATTCTCCTATGCTGCCACACTCAGTGCCAGTGTGCAGGCATACCCATCCACACACCTGCCTCACCCACCTCCCCTCCTGCAAGCTTCCCCATATGCAGGGCTTGTACATGCTGCCACAGAGCTGCCTACCCCAGACACACAGAGGGCATTAGTGTGGGCACCCATGCCAGGGATGGAGGTAGTGCATCCTGACAGGAAGACTTTGCTGAGGGTGCCTGTGTGGGCCTCTGCCATGGAAAGTTTTCTGGCAGGCTGCTAGGACAGTGTTGTCCTCGCAGTGGTGGGGTTAAGTAGGGGAGAGCAACGCTTGCTGAGAGTCCTGAGGATTGTCGGTAGCAAAGGAGAGACTGGGAGGCAGAAGACTCAAGTTTCTCATGGCAGTCACACTGGCGATGCCTGTTCCCAGCCCATATGTTGCTCATGTATAAGGCAACCTTCACAGGAAGAGACTGCTGGCATGAGCACTCTTCCATTTCTGAACACTGCTCCAGTAAAGTGCAGAGACCTTGCTGGAGTGCCAACCAGTTCTGTCTCCATGGTCACTGCTGCTGGAGACAGCTCACCATGATGCCCCAGTGAGATTCCAAAGCTGTGGTTCAGCATCAGGAAATTAGCAGGCAGAAGTAGGAAAAAAGAAGCACCAGGCGGCCAATCATATTGTGACAGGTTTCAATATAGCAGTTGCTATAGAACAAGATGGTAGAAAATGCAGACTGAAGTATCTGGTGCAGCCATGGTCACCCTAGCCACAAAGCTTATGGCTGAAACATGGAAATTTCAAGGAAACATTGTGATTGGGCTCAGACACATGGAAACCTTATAACAAGCCTTGTGTTTCTCCACAAGGTTTCATGGAAAACAAATGTACCTCACTTCACCATGGATGCTAGGTTTAAATGTATACAAGACATGCCTGTGTGGTTTCCACCATGGCTTGTCATTACGTGTGAACCCACCCACTGTCTAGAGGCTATGGAATCATTTCCTTACTGTTAAAACAACAACCTTTGACATCTTAAATGTCAAATGTTCAATTGTTTTTCAACATGCATTTTGATGGTAAGATTTCATTGGATACTTGATTGGCCATAATTGCAAATATTTGTGGAAAAGTATATTATTGGTATTTTCAGGTTCTCTTTGTTTCGTTATGAATTTAGTTAAACTTTCAGAAAGGCTCCTATACATACTATGTTGACTTAAAATCCTTTTATCTTTATAGATCCATTACATCATATTTGGATGAAAACATCTTGAACGGACTGAAACAGATTCATGTGGAGGTTGGTAAAAATTATATCTGTGGCAAGCTTGCCTTGTGCTATATAAATGGGAGTAGTTTTTGTATTAATATTTAAGCTTATGGAACTGGTGTTATAGGCCATGTCTCTACCCATGTAGCTTTCCTGAACTCATATGATTCTGGGACTCTCACAATCTATAGTAGCTAATATATCATAAAACCTCAATAATAATTAGAACTAGAGTTTTCACAATAGCACAAAGCTAATTTATCATTATTTCATAATATTACTGGCACAAAATAACATAAAGAAGCTTCTGCCCCCAAGAATCTTACAATCCAATCATATGAGAACCTTCATGGGTGGCCAAACTAACCACAGTAATGCTTACAGGAGATAGATTAAGTGATGTTAACATTATAGGCTTTGTATTAATAACTACATGGAAGAATGTATGAATTAGGGATGGGGATGGCTTCTAAATGTAGGATTAGAAACATGAACACATAGAAAATTACAGTTAAAAAAGGATTGGAACATGAAATCTATTGCAAGAGGTTCTTAGGGAGTAATGGTATAAATCATCACTATTAATATGAAACTATAATATTATTGTAATGGCCAGACAAAGGTAATGGCCAATGGTCAAACAAACAAAGCCCCTGGAAGTGGGGAAAAGGCTCTTCATTGTGTAATCACAAAGAAACATAGTGGGACCCACCTGTGGTCACAACCTACACTTTGAGAAATACTAAATTTAATAAAAATTCTTCTTGGAAAATCTAGTATCTTTTCTCTTACAGCTTTGCCATCGTCAGTTGTATAGGTAAGAAAATTAATACTAAGCAGATTATTTCATTTCTTAATAATAAAAGTTTCTTGAAATACAAAATAAGTAATGTGTGAAAATGCACAGTTTCAAGTAGAAGAGTTATACAGAATCATGTTGACTCATTTATGTGTATGACAAGCTTAGTTGGCATGTAGCCATAGTAGGATATGCTGTGTGAGATAGCTCTACTAAAGCAGTTTAGTTTGTTAGAAGTGATGTTAACATTTCTTAAATATGATTACTACCCTGAGCAAAGTGTGGCAGTGTCTCATAGGGCACTGTATAAGCTTTCTAGTAACACAGAAATATTTAACAGGCAAGTGAGACCATGGCTACTGAAGTTATATTGCCATTCTAGGCAAGATAAAATTTACATTTCACAGCATCTCAATGTTATCTTGTTGTATAGTAGACAGCATAACATTTATCTATGAAATAACAAAGGGTGAAATCCAGCTTTCCATGAGTGGTTCTCAGTCTCACAACTTTAGCCTCCTCTCATTCCTCAGTTCAGCCCCCCTGTGTCCCAGTGTTTTAAGGTCTGCAGGCAGAATCACTTCCTCTATACTCCAGTAAAAGAAGCTGCTCCATCTGCAGGAAGACTTAATTGAATATGTTCTTAAGATTTCCTTGTGATATTTTAAGATTGCTGTTAGCCATGCCCCTTCTAGATTTTTCATAAAGCCTTTATTTATAAATGCTGATCTTCTGACATTTTTGCTTCTCAACACGGTTCTGACACTTTGTTTTGCAACGTTTTGTATATAAGTTGAGCAAATTGAAAACTTAGTGTTATGGACTTGACTTTAAAGGTAAGCACCAGCACCTTGAATTGAGGTCAGAAGGGAACAGGCCACCAATATTGTGCCTTCAGAACTAGTGTTATACAAGCTTCCCTGCTCAAACCTGTGAGAATCCTAGCTGCTGAATCTGAAGTAGCTGAAGCTTCTGTACTTCCTTTGTGCAAATTGCTAAGTATAATATTCGTCTGTAATTCAAACTGGAGGTTCATGTACAAGATTTTACATGTTAATGATAGCTGCTATTCCTGCTTTGCCTGCTTGAGGGGTATACCTGTGCTACAAATTTGTTCCAGTTTTATACTACTTAAATTATCATAGTTTCTCATAAAGATTTCTGAGAACTGGCATTTAGTGCAGTACTGAGAATTTTACTTCATATTAGGGTGGTTTGATTTAAATTAAGCCAGCCTTCCATCACTTTGTACCACATATATATTTTGTGTAATTGCCTTTCTTCTGTTTACAGAGCATTCCCATATGCTCATTCTGAAAGGGCAAGCATTGTGTTGCTGTAGCCATGCCTATCTTGCATGTGAGGGGAGATGGGGAGGAAAGAACTGGCTGGAGGTAACTAGCCAGCAGGTTGGCCCCTCCCCCCCTCCCCCCCCCTTCTATGGCCCTTCTAGTTTTGCTTCACCTTGAAGGAGGTTCATTTTTCAAATGAGCTCTGCACTCAATATCATAAGTATTTCTCTTCTTCCTTACCCCCTACCTACAGGTCTCTTACATTCCAGCTTTGTTGCCCCCTTTCTCTCCATTCCCTTTATGCTTTGCTTCTACTCATCATTCACTCTCCTTATATCCTCTTTGAATTTAAGAATGTAATACCAGCCCTTATGGATGAAACCAGACATACCTATTCAAGCATCTTGATTTGCACAGTGGCCATCCAGATGCTTGTGGAAAGCCACAAGCAGGACATGATTGCGTAAACCTTCCAGAGAGCTTTGGTTGTGGGGCTGTATAGAAATAAATAAATAAAGGCAGTTCTCTTCTGCTTTTCTTCTTTAGCCCTGGTATTTAGACATGTGGTGTGACTGATCCTAGAGGTTGCATGTAGCCATCATGACTAGTAACCATTGATAGCCTCATTCTCCACAAATTTATCCAATCCTCTTTTAAATGGTTTAATGAGAAGCCATATCCTGAAGAAGCATATTCCATAGTCTAAGTATGTCATGTAATAACCTACAAGACATTCAATCTAACAGTAATTTACTCAGTGACACAGGTGGTTGTGTATCATGGCTGGCTGGAAAAACTGGAACAATATCCACACATGCTTCTGAATCTAGAAAAAGAGATGCAATCTAAGCATATTAAGGCAGGCACTTTCTCATCCCACCACACTTTCAGTGGTATGTCTTTTTAACATTGTGTTCAAAAGTCACCTGTAAATCATTAATCCTAGCTTAATAACCCATGATGTGCATGTAGCCTAATTAGTGCTCCCCTACAGGAATAGGTAAGCAAACTAAGGTGCCACAATAAAGCATAGCTCTTGTGATATTTCCTCTCTTTAAACCTTGCTTTTTTGCAAGCACATTAACTATACTGCCAGGCTCACTTGACACAGGAAGCTGTGACCAAATGGCTAATTTATTTTACTTCTCATGCAAAAGAAGGAGCAGAATATATGGCTTAGCAGTACAAGCAGATGCAAGCCTGGATGGATTTGTACTTTTGAATTTTGGCAAGACATGGCGTTTTAGACTTGTGCATCACCTTTCTTTTATTTTTTGTGTTATCTGAAATATAGATAGGTATTTTATCTCTTCAATCAGCAGTTTTCCTTTTTCATTACAGAGGATTAGGTGGAGAACTAATGAGACCAGCTGGTATGTTACATGGCACATATTTTCTGCTCCTATTTTTAAACTGTATCTTTATTACATAGTGTGTTGAGCTGTTTTGCATTCTTTGCTTTTTGAGTACTTGGTATTAGCAAGCATGCTTTAGAGAGACTGAGATTCTGAAGCTTGGCTAGTCTATTAGTTCACTAGGCATATGGCCAAGCTTTCTTTCAATTTGTACCAAATGTCATAATCTTCCTTAAATCATGTTTCCCTCATTTATTCTCCCTAACATAACTTCTTAAGCCAAATATGTACAGCAGACTAACAAATAAATGCACAGATAAAGCATGGAGATTTGAAAGTTGCAGTGTTCTTTAGTACTGCTTTAGCATTGATCATTAAACCAATAGTTTCTCTTACATATGCAGAACAAAGGGCCGGGCATATAGAGGAATTCATTTATGAGATGATACAAATTTATTTAGCTTTTGCTCTGAAGGCAAGCCTTTCACTTCCTGTTAACAAACCAACAAGCTTCTCATCTTTAGCACTTAGGATACTGTTAGGATATACCAGGGGTACTCAAACGTTTTCAACAGGGGGCCAGTTAGAGGCGGCAGCGGTGGGTGCGGGCCGTTGAGATGGTGCCGGCGGTGGGGGTGGGCCGGTGGGGGTGGGGGCAGTGGACACGCGCGCAGTGAGGGCAGTGGATGCGTGCGTGGCAAGGCAGTGGTGGCGTTGGGTGTGGCGAGGTGAGGAAGTGGTGGCAGGCACGTGCGTGGCGCAGCGGAGGCTTGCTTGCTCGGAGATTGTTTTCTCCGAGCAAGTCCATAACCTCCGAGGTGGGCTGGATAAATGGGCACGGCAGACCAGATCTGGCCCGCGGGCCATAGTTTGAGGGCCATGGAATATACTGTGAAAACTCTTTTTACCATCCACAAAAGTAAAACCTACATGCTGGTCACACTCTTGACATTTTTTTTCCAATTTTTCTTGTCATGCCCTCACTTCTCGATTCATCAAAACAATAGTTTGGGCTTATTTTCTGGCCTGTTTGGTATTTAGTCACATATACACTGTGTGCATTTGAAAAAGGAGTGTGTGCCATTTGAAAAAGGAGTTTTATACGAGTAGGAAATTCCCTGTTGTCTCCAAGTCAAAGAATGTTCACCAGCACCGTATGCAGAAATCTGTTGTACTAAGTATGGTACTTCTATATACCATTTGTATACGCTTAATTGGTATGGCAAGGGGAGTAATTTTGGCTCACAATAATGTTAGACAATCAGCAGTTCTTACTCTTGTGCTACACAATTTCTTATGATGTTTATTGTGCTAATCAATAGTTCTTACTATAGTTCTATACATTCATCCTAGAATGTAGCTCTCTAGGCAGCAGTATCTGTATTACTGATCCTATTACATTACTTGACCTATGAAACTGTGTGTGACTAAAGGTGTTCCAGTACCATTGAATTTAGTGGACCATATTTAGTGGACCACAAGATTGGGCTTTTGTTGTTTTCAGCAATTCCTTTTTGTTTTCCAGTCTGCACTTTGATTGAAAAGTTATCACTTTCAAAAATGCCATTTAGAGAAGATTCCGTAATTGGTAGGTTATGATGTCTTTAATGCATCCAATCTGTCTGTTAAAGATTATACTTTCATTCAGATGCTCCGTTCTGTTGATTTCATTTGCCAGGAGTGTGAGTCATGTAGAAATTCTTATTTCCATTCACAAAGAATATTCTTTGGACTGTGTGGATTATAGTATGCCTCTAATACACCCAAGACTTTGTTATCTCCTGCTGTTGCTGGCTTCATGAAGCTGTGACTATATTTGCCATGTTCTGTTCAATTTGGAATAGTAGTGTCAAAAGGATGCAGCACATGGAGGTAAACGTGGCTATGGAAATGAACATCTCCCCCTCCAGATGTATTGTGCTGCAGCCTGCACTATCCTGACCATTAACCATACTGGGTCAGGCTGATGGGAGTTGTAGCTCAAATCATCTGGAGGGCAACAGGCTAGGGGTAGTTAATAAAGGATATATGAGTCAACACTAACATCCATTCAAACATATACAGCCCTTGTGCATCCAGTGTAGAGTTCAGCCGTGCACATTGACTTTATATGTTAGAACTTAATGGAAGGGAGCATCTTGTATGTAACTTGATAGTTAAAAGAATTGTAACAAAGTTGTAATAATACAATACCTTAAAGCAATTGTCATTTCAGAAAAAAATGCTACTCAAACCATCTAAGAAAGATCATGTTTTAAATGGGCATAGATGTGCACTACAGTGTGAAACAAGCAGTAATTGATCTTAGAACTACAATTTGGATCTGATTATTTAAAAGTTCTAGATTGCAGGACAAATGGATGACAACCTTGCTAAATTTTATGTAACTAGCATACCACCTGATATGTTTCTTCCCCTCCAGATGGCTGGCAGTGGCTGATAAATGACAGTTTACGAAGTCTCCATCTTGTTTCAAGCAATGCAAGACAAGAAATAAAAGTATATTTTTACCTGTTTTTTGCTTGTTTTTATTCATTAACATTTCAAAATCAAAATTTCTGTTGTAATATTTTGTCCGTTGCTCTCAAGTTAGGTTTTAAATTTGTAAGGTTTCTATATAGCATGGGCACTTGATCCCTGGTCAACTGCCTAACTATGTGTCCCAACTATGTGCAAATAAGCCTGTATACGGTCTTGTCTTCACAGTATCCATTTATATTAAGTCCTGCTATTCATCCTACTGACAGATGAACTTAATCCCCTTTGAGAGCTGAAACTTACAAGGACTTTGACAAGGCAAAACTTACACATATTGGTCAGTTCTATGTGTGCACTTAGGCACTTCTGAAAGAAAAAAATATGAGCACAGTTATGTAGTTTTCAGGGGCCATATATAATCTCAAATACATTTTAAGGTTATGAAATTCCTCCCCCCCCCCCAAAAAAAAAAAAACTGGTAGCAAACAAAAATGGGTAGCAATTGGAGCAGGAAGGAGGGGGTAAGACTTGTTCTGCTGCAAGAGACACAAGCAGGAGAATAACCCATAATAAGCCCTTTTGCCTGTCTGGTGCACTACCACTGCATTACTTATTCCCAGGATGGCCTAGTGTGCCATGCAGAGGCGTCCACACTTTTTCCCCCTGTAAGTTATAGTTTTCTCAGTTTAAATAAATATAATGGTACTTCCTTTGTTTCCTGTATAAAAAGGAACTCCAACAAGCTCCACAGCTTGTATCAAGAACTATAGACTTTTAGGAGCCTGCCAGTAATACAAGCACATGCAAGTTAATTTATCTTGCTCAGGATTCCATTTCCCCTCATGGACTATTCTCAGTGATGTCATCATGGGGAATGCACTCATGCCTAACTCATGGATCTCTTTGTTAATGTGAATATCAGGGTTTTTTTTTTTTCTTTTAAAGGTATGGGACGCATTCTGTACACAATGCATTGATCCTTGTTAAATTGAGTTAAATTGAAACAAATAATTGAGTACACATCAAAAAAATTTAGACCCTAACTTAATTCTTCCAAACTGCAATTCAGTCATTCAAGTAATACTGATGACCATTAAAATGTTTTATAAATAATAACTATCAGTTGTGGTATCTTCAAATCCTTAGAAAGAAATGATGCTAAGATCCAAGAAAGTAACATTATTCAATGTTCATGGCCTGCCTGTGGTTTGTGACAACAATGGACAACTTTAGAATTTTACTCACTAGAGTTCAATGGATAGACCCTATGTTTGAACCTTGCTTTTCTTTTAGGAGTCGGCAGTCTCTGCATTGGCTGCTCTGTGTAATGAATATTACTGCACAGAAGAAGGAGGTGCAAATCCAGCTCAGCAAGGTAATGATTCACAAAGTTGTTTCTGCCTTCACTCAGGGATAACCCATGTTCATCTGGCTTGCTAGAAACATCTAGCACAACAATGCCAGCCTAAGCTAAATCAACTTTTCTGTGTCTAGCAACCTCTCAGTGGCTAGTAAGCCAGCCCAGTTACGCAAGCTTTTAAGATGCACTCAATTAAATTAAGCTTTTTCTTCTAAAGAAATGCCTTGGAGAAAGGAACAAATTCTGATTTACACATGTGTGGGACAGTTGTTTGTAATGTTCTTAGTAAATTATCACTTCCAGTTGCTGCTTGGATTAAGCAATAACAATGTGAGCACTTCTCAGGGAGCCTCTTTCACTCCCTTTTTAACTTTCTACACTGTGCATATGAGACTTTTAAATAGCTCTACTGAGCTAGTGACAGATTTAATACAACTATAGCCCATGCAAACATATTAGAAAGATCAGGGCTTTTATACATATTGAGATCAGGTATGATCCATAAACGAACAACTGTTAACTGGGTAATATTCAAGGGCATCCCTCTGTACACTTGAGCTAAGTGGTGCTTTTCTTCTTGCCCAACAGATGATAGGAGTTGGGGTGGGAATGTGAACTAGAGGAAAGCAAACTTGGATGCAATGAGATTTATAGCTGGATTGCAGTATTCAAAGTACTTTTCCTCCAATATGGAAGAATTTAACCCACCAACTGATAAATGACCACAGCTCCCTGTCAAGAAGAGTAGCAAATGTGTTTTACTTTTGGATGTAGGCATGGTAGTTAACCTACAGAGCTTGGTGCTGTGGTACTTGGCCATAGACTGAAGACCTGACTTATATCATCAAGAGGCAAGCATTGCTGCAGAAATGCTCAGATTAGCCAGAACCATATTTCTCTGAAATGTTATGTTCCATATATAATTTCATGCTCTCTCTTGCATGCACTTTTAGTTTTGTTTTTGTCTTAATTTGTTGCAGTGTTCTTTCCTCCAAGTTTTTGCTTTAGCTTTCAACCACTATTTCTGTTGCATTGTATCATGTTATGCTTACATTTGCAAGAGTGCCTACCATCTTACAACCCAATAGGCATTGTTGGATACTTCAAGATGTAGCGCCTGGTTAGTTTGCTGCCACCTTTTGTGTGTCTTGTGTTAACAAAATGTCTCTGAAATCAAAATGGGTGCTGTTGCAAAACACATGCATAGGTAGGGAAGCCTGAAGAATTCATCATTTTCAAATACCAGTACAGACTTATTTGATTTGCAGTTTCTGGACTCAGAGCACAGTCACCCTTCAGAGTTGTTTGTTTGTTTGTTTATTACCTTTGTATACCACCCATAGCTGAAGCACTTCTTTGAACTTGGTGGTGCCTTTCTTAGCTCAAAGATGTACCAGAATTATATAAAATGTTTCTTGTAGGATACAATAATTTAGACATGTAGCATGCATATTTTGAGAAATAATATATTTAGAGCACAATCCTAAAGGATTGCTGCTGTTTAGAAGGAGGAACCACTCCACCCTTTCAGTGTCCTGCTGGCAAAGCCTGTACATGGTAGGAGGAATGACAGAAACTTTAACAAACTTGTCCTCCTCCTTTGCGCTGGTGTTTGCCAAATGGACTGCTGGACTGGTCTAGCTGCTATGTGCTGTCAGGATTGGGGTCATGCGAGGCACACAGATTAGGTGGAGACTTAGCTTCTCTTCTCCTTGTGCAGCATCTAGCACAACCTTTCCTTCTCTTCTCCACCCTCAACCCAAGATTAATCTCAGGTGAGCAGCCATCTTGGAACATTCTGCAGTCTTGGAAAGAGAGACTAGGTATCCACAGTTATCTCAAGGTTGGAGCTCTGCCTCCAGCCTTGTAGGATGGGATCAGCAATATCCTATGGTGCCCCACATGCTTTCTAAGGACCATAGTTTTGCTTTGCTAGAAATGGGGGATGTGAAAAATAAATTTGAAATATGTGTGCAAATATGAATTCATGTTCAGATTAATACAGATTATTTAAACAACCATTATGCCATTATTTATTTAAATATGCATCTGCTGGCTTTTGGACTAAGGTCATCCAGTGAACACTTGCAGAACTGACACTGACTATAAGTAAATTAACCCATTCCTAGAATAAGGTTCCTCTGTTGCTTCAGGCCTCTTGTTATAGAAATGTCTAAAATACCTACATTGGTGCTCGTATGTTATCAGACAGAGTCTCCTCAAAATGTAGTGCTGCAGACTCAAGACCTGTTTGAGATGCTTCTTATGAAACTAAGAGCTGCCTCATGTGGGCAATGAACATGCACTGTTTCTCTTAAATGGCATATGAGACTCCCATCTGCACCTAACCAGGGATACCCAGTGGCTGCCACATGCAAGCTTATACAGCATTTGGATTTAGATAAGCAGATGTGCATAAAATGCTTTGTTTTCAAGCAAGGTTGTTGCAGCAATGGCTTGATTACTACTGGGACAAAGCTAATGTGGACAGCAAGATCTCAGCGGTCATGTGACTCTGCTGTCAGAGTAAAAGTTCAGTAGTCCCCCAACTGTTTTTTAACCAAGGTAAATACTCTTGCACATATGTTTTACCCTCTCCTGGCTCTACTACTTCATTCCAGTCTTCTCTTTTAAAGAAGTTAAGCCCTTTTGATGGGAAACGGGTTTTCTGGTGCAGTCACATTATTTGGGACATACTTAATGCTGAATGTTAGAGTTACTATTTCTAATTAAACACAGTTGTCTGCAGCATACAGACAGGCTTTCCTTCAACACATTGCTTACCTTAACTTTTAATTACAATATGTGCAATTTTTAAAAGAAGAGGTTTCTTTAAATGTCTTTGCTTCATAGGAGCAGAAAGGAGCATGTTAAGAAAGTGTTGGTCTACTAGGGCGAACTATACAATTCCATTTAAGAAAGAAGGAACCAAAAGTATTTAAATGTGCCTAAATATCTAGAATTGTTTTGCTCATATTTTGAGCAAATATCCATCTATGCCCACTAATACTGCAGAGCTCTTCCTTCAGTCCAGTGGGCAAAGGATGTCACTCTGAAGAATACGCCTATGCCACATTTTTAAGTGCAGCAAGACCCCATATCCACACAGATCAGTTCCAAGCCCCCCCAGCAGATTCCTGAAAGCATGGATAATAGCAAACACTTTCAGTGAGTTAATAGTAACTGAGCCAGTGGATACGTGGGTCTTGCTGAACATTGTACTGCTTGGCTAAGGAAGCATTTCCATAGTAAATCTCTTGAAAGAATAAAACAGCATTTATAGTATTTGGAAACCAACATCTTCTCTCTTTCTGGGGAAAAAAAATAATCATGTGCAAATATTTTAAAGTTCTAGCTGGCTTATATCTAGACAGTTCTAGATCTAAGACAGTTCTAGCTGTCTTACATTCCTGTACTTTTAGTCATGTTCTAATCAATGATACTAAGCAATGATACTGTAACTGTTTTATTTTTTAGATGAGCTGGTGAAACAATACATTTCAGGCCTTCAAAGCCATGAGGAAATGACTCGATGTGGCTTTTCACTAGCCTTGGGCGCCCTTCCTAAATGTCTTTTAAAAGGCAAGCTCCAGGAGGTGAGCTAGAATGCAGGCCTTGGGCTGGGCAGTTAAGTTTTGCATTCACTTGTAGAAATATTTTGTGTTATGTTCGATTGCTTCATTCAGCATATGATAATGGATCATATTGCTGTTGGTGTTTGGTGTGTTCAGAACTCTGTCATGTTTCCTTTGATTCCCATAAATAATTAAGATTAACTACCGTGGAAGGGTAAAGGTGCACTCACATCATGCTTTCATATGTTAATAAGCATAGCATGTTTATACACATTTAGCTGGAGAAAGAAAAAAACAACATGAGTGGGGTCAAATTAATAATTGTTGGAGAGACAGCAGGGTGTAGTGGTGAAGAGTGCAGGAAAGAGACAATTTGGGTTCTAGTCCTCACTCAGCAGTGAAGCTCACTGGGTGATGTTGGACCAGTCACAAACTCTTAAGGCCAATCTACCGCACAGGGTTGTTGGGATAAGATTGGGAGCAGGAGGAAAAGTATGTAAGCTGTCTCAGTTCATTAGAAAGGGAAAAAAGATATACATATAATAAGTGAGTAGTTTTCTCTTTTAACATTTTTGTGCCATGGAAAAGCACAAACATTGCCCATTGAAATCTTAGATGTATCAGAATAAGTTAAAAAGATCACGTTGCATTACATTTGGCCAGCAGTTGCAAGTGACCAAGGAACAGATGCAATTTTTTAAATACAAATTTAAATATTCATGCTTAGGAGAAGCAAAGGACTAAATCAGGAATGACAAACGTAATATAAAATAGGGAATAAAGCAGTCAGTTGGATGGCAGTGTCCCAGCTGAGGGCAGCACTGCTCAGCTGTTTCCCTGCTCCAGCCTGAAAGGAAGCTTCTCAGGTGCCAGCAGTAGGGGGGACCAGTCAGCTGAGTGCTGCTGGGGCAACTCTCCTCAGCTGGCTCCTCTGCTCCTGCCTGAGATGCTTTCTTTCAAGCAAAGAAAGGGATGGGCTGTGCAATGGGGAGGAGAGCAATCCACTGCACAGCCTTGGTAAAAGGGGTGGCATCACTCAGTTGCTTCCCGTACTCCTACCTCAGAAGATCCTTTTCAAACATGTGGAGAGGGGGCAATAAGCTGTGTGGCATTGCTGAAAGTTAGAGGACTGCCAGGTAGGCTCTCTGAGTAGCCATGTGGCAAAAGTGGCAGTGGCTGCTCTTGCCATGTGGTTGTCTTGTTCTGCAGACTTCCCCACTGTGGATTGGGTTGTCTGAGTTTGGACAATGCAAATAATTATGGTAGGGGAAATCCCTATAACAGATGGTGTTTCTTACCATAGTGTTCAGGCATTATTAATCTCAATAGTAAATCACAACAACTAGGTTTTGACAACAGGACAAATAATTCTTGATAATCAGTGGTTGCTTGTTGTGTCATGTGAATCCAGTCAGTGTGAGTGACCTCTTGTGCACCAGGGATTTTGTAGTTATGTAAGCAACTTGAAATGGGACAGGTCAGTGGAACTTGCAGAACATTCCCCTGATTTGTCCTATCTGGAATTCAGTGTGTCTGTTCTTTTCCAGGGTTACTTTTCCAGGGTGAAATCCTAGCTGTGCAAGTGGTCCCTCCCACTGGTGCAAAAGGAAAAGGGGGGGGTACATCAACAGTACAGAATACTGCTGTTGGTACCAATTTATGGTAGGAAGTATGTCTAGTCGGAAGTAAGCACAAGTCCAAGTAAGCAAAACAAGTGTCTGGATGTCTGATCAGAAGCATGCTGGAAGAATCAGTTAGCAGCATTTCCCAAAAGCAACCCAAGCATCTAGGCTTTTTGTATCTGCTAAGAAATAACCATAACCATGACCATCATATCAACTCACAAGTAAGTAAGGCACACTTGCTTACTTGGAACTAAGGAGGGCAAGGTTCAGAAGGACATATTGATGGCCCCAGAATTAGATAAACTCTGTATCTTAAACTTGACACAGAGATGATAAATTTTCGCTATAGCTAGATAATTTTGCTGCAGACATGGAATTCCAGTTCAGTCTTTGCATCCGTACACAAAGTTTGTGTGTGTACTGAATCTTTCCCATGTCCATCACTTATCTTCTGTGACTCCTGCCTTCCACCCACTTCACATTGCATTGTTTTTCAGATAACACTTCACAAGCAAGCTTGATACAATATTAGTATGGTGTTTTGTTTTTGTTTCCCCCCCCGCCCAGGTTTTAGAAGGTCTGAAGAGAGTCACTTTGATTTCTCCTGAAGGCATGGGCTTTGCTGAATCCAGAAGAGATGCCCTAAAAGCCATTGCAAAGTATGTTTAACCATTTCTTTTTTATATTTTCCTTTTTCTGGTAAAATACAGAAGTAGTAACAGCCATTGAGGTAAAACAAGTGTTAAGTTTGTTATTAAGGCTATATCTTTCCAAGGAGATTTTTGCTCAGGTAGTTGCATTTGTAGAACTATGATGTGTTTAACTGTAGTTTTCATATCTTCTTTGGACAACTAAATAGTATTTGGAGTTCTCCCAAGATCATTCATCAAAAGGTGATGTTCTTCCTGTGAAGCAGGTATTTATTGTTTTATTTGCAGGCTAGACATACTGCACTTGAGTTATGAAAATGCCTGTGCCAGAAAGATAAAGCTTTTAATAGTGTAACTTGGAGAGGTAGAAATAAAAAAATTAATTCCGTTTCTTTATTTTGTTTTCATTTCTGTATCTAGCCATCTACATTTATTTATGTAAATGGGTGCTGTTGAATTTGTCTGTACTGTATTTTACCTCATTCTTTCATCACATAGTTTCCCATCCTGTGAAGGTGCCAGAGAGCTCTCCTGTGTCATACCTTTGCATATAGCCTGAAGTACCTGCTCCTGCCTAATCTTGGAAACTAAGCAGGATTGGGTCTGGTTGAAATCTGGATGGGTGACTTAAATGTTGTGAACCACCCAGTGAGCTTTGGCAATGGGCAGTATAGAAATGTCTGTTCCTTTTTCCCCCAGAAAGGTTTGCCTGGTGCTGACACTTTATTCTTTTTGGCGTCAGGTGAAAACCTTTTTATTTTCCTATTATTTTAATGTTTAGTTGGTTTTAACTGGGGTTTTTACTGCTGGATGCTGTGTTTTGTTATTTTATTTGTTTCTTATTGTAAGCCATCCTGAGATGCCAGTGGTAGATGGGGTACAAAAGCTTTAAACAAACAAACAAACATCTCTGTTTTAACCAGTTTTTCCCACCCTTTACTTGTATGCTTGTGGCCCCTTTCAAGGAGTAGAATAGCTGAAAAAAGAGTGTGATGTAACTAACAGCATAGAGTTGAACAGTAACATTTAGAAATGTCAAAAGTTTACAGGGATTATGTAACACATGGCTGTAATGTATAAGGGAGCTTTACATTATACAAATATGTGATGCAACTTTACATCTTTAGAATGAGACTGGTCATTTGATATCTTAGGATCTGTAAGAAATATTGAACCATAAATTGTGGCAAAATCCAGATGTTTTAATCCCACTGCTGCCATGGCAATTTGAAAGTAGAGAGAACTGCTTGAGCTGTACTGGAGCATCAGTATTACATCTGTCCAAAGGGGGGAGGGTCTGCCATGGTTTTTAGCCTAACTGGGTGAAAATCAGATGACATAAGGAGTCAGTACAGTTTGTATATTACATGAGACAACCATATAAATATACATTTGTGTATTACAAATGTATGTATTTGTATATACAGAGCTAACTCTGACCTAATTCCTCAGTGTGAACACAGGAGCAGTCTGGGCAGCCCTACTGAATTCCCAGTCAGACAATATGCCTGTCCTCAGACCATCAGTTACGACAGGATCTTTGCTATGAGAACACAAAATCAGTGGGATAATTTATGTGCGTCTTTCCCCATTGGCCAGTAAAAGATTCCATGAAATGATTGTGTGATGCATATTTGCAAGCTCAGATCAATGGATTCCAACAGGGCACAGTTTTAGACTAATGTCAGAAGAAGATGCGTTTGCTATCCATTACGGTTAACTAAAATAGTCCTTTCATAAACATATTAAACTGAGTTCTGTTTGCTGTTATGCACATTTTATATATTCTAGACTTATATGGATATAGTGGCCATTTTGGCTGTATGTGTAATTCACATTCTTCTTGCAGAGTTTGTTTGACAGTAGGAGTGAAAGAAGAAGGACCACCTACTGAATTTGTGTGCAGAGATAATGTTGCCCAGATATATAGTGTATTGCTGGATGGCCTGAATGATTATACAACAGATAGTCGGGGTGATGTTGGGGCATGGTAAGCTTTTTGGTCCTTATTTATTATGTTCTCCTTCTGTGTCAGCAGTGTAAGATCATAAGAGGGTACAATTTAGAGGATGGGCCCAGTGAAACATCAACAGGAGTAATGTTGCATTACTGCAATTGCATTAGGGCACTGCACTACTGAAGCAACATAGGATGGTGCAGCTTGAGCTTTGCAAAGAGTGAAAAAAAAGCTCAAAAAGTGGTAAGATTAATAACATGAAGCTAAATCGTATCTATGTCAAGAGATCAGTGGTACCCCCCACCAGTGTTGCAGTCTTGTAGTCTTTAAATACAAAACATGAGACCCAGTGTGGTGTAGTGGTTAAGAGGGTGGGACTGGGACTCAGGCAGTCTGGGTTCTGGTCCCCGCTCAGCCATGGAGCCAACTGGGTGACTTTGGGCCAGTCAGTTTAAGCTGCCTCACAGGGTTGTTGCTGTGGGGATAAGATTGAGAGCAGCAGAAGTAGAAGTATCTAAGCCACTCTGAGTTTTTTAAAAAAGAAAAAAGGTGGGATATAATTCTAGTAAGTAAGTAGGTAAGTAAGTAAATAAGGGTATTCACTTAAAAACATGAAAACCAATTATTCACGGTCAACATAGCTGCAACAGAACACATTGTACCTGTCTTGTTTTGTAATCCATTTGGACAGTACTATAGAGCCCTTCATCAACATTTAGATTTCCACAGATAGCAAAGGAAAGCCTGTAGAAAGAAGAGAGTGAGCAGAAAATACAGCAAAGGAAAATTTCATACAAAATATGTCAGGTGATCACAGATTGCTGGCTTTTCTACCACTGGATTGGCAGAAGTTGCTGTCATACCAGTGCAATTACTCCTGTGAGGACTTCTAGTATTTTATTAGATGCTGCTTAAAAGCCATTCTTTTTTCCCCTATTCTATTTGTGTCTCACTGAATTAAATCTAGCTCTGTCTCAAAGGATAGATGGGGTGCCTCGCTGCCGCATTTTAGTGACTGGACAGCAGAGGGAGCAGTTGTATCAACTTACCAGTTGTGCACTCTTGCCTTCTCATAATTTTCCCTACCTCTTATAGACATTTTTGTGTTTTTATTTTTTAAAAACCTATTATTTATTACTATCTAAGCTATCTATAAACCCTAAAATGATAGTCTGACACAAAC